GTCAATAATATAATAATTAAAAAGCAATTAATTAACAACAGCACATTAGCAGTAGGAGCGGGAACATAACAATTTTAACAATTTTTTATTTTTTACTTTTTTTAATTTTTTTTTTATTTTTAATATTAAAATACAATTAATAACACGCAAATCACGTGATTAATAAAAAAAGGTTCTACTTTTATTCTTACCAGTTGCATTAGAATTAGAATTGTTTGTCAAATAAATAAAAAACATCAGTTTATTAACAAGTGGAAAACATATATAATAACGAAATACCAACTATTTTGTTAAATCTCTCTGGCACCTGTTGGATCTTTTAGATATTGAGTGTATGTTGAAGAAGTGTTGCCCAGTTAGAGTTGTGGCACTTTGACTGTCGAAATATATTTGCCAAGGTCACTTGATTTGCAATTAAAATAATGCTGAAACATGCCTAAATATCTGTCAAATGTCCAAATATCGATCAATTTAAAAATTGACAAAATGTATTAATATGATTGGGGTACGTATTACTTTACCGACAACATACGGTGCATCATTTATCATTTTATTAGTTGTTTGATTATGTGGAGGTTAAAATGTACCCCCGGGTTGTCGGTAAACTGAATGCCTCCCATATGATTTACTATTTGCAAGAGTTGTATAAATCTTAATGATTGGGAAATTGATTAGAATGGGCAATTCTCAACCAATTTTTAATAATTGATTAATTGTATATATTGATTGCATTCTTTTCTTGGATAATTTTTTATCATGCTAAATTGTTATAAATATAAAATTTGCGCTTAATCTCTTTTTTTAATATTGGTTACATTGTTTAAATAGTTGAGCCGCGCCGACTGGCGGTTTACTAGCATTCAATCAATGTCTTCTTGAATCTGTAAAAGGCATATTTTAATATCATTTATGCATTTTGACAACATCTAGGCATTTCGATATTGTTTAGTAGGAATTTTGACAGCTTAAATGTCGATTGACGAAATATTTTGACACCAATTATCTTGCCATTTATAATTCTACAGGATTGTTCAAGCCTAGTCTGTTGAAACACCACACACAAGTCTGCAAGGAACGATATTACAACTGTAGAATAACTTCTATGCTGTTCTCTCATATTGCCTCTTTGAGCGTAACCTTTTATACAAGAATTAACTCAGTCAGCTGTTCCAATTAGCATAATTGGCAGGATAAATGAATGTGATTTTGGACATTCAAGGGGATGAGAGATGTGATGGTTATTACATTTAGTGCAAAATCCATTATGTTTTGAGACAATGATGATTGTGATGGTGGTTGTGATGACTGTGGTGATGATGTTTATTTTATAGCATGTTCTCTTATAATAATTTCTTTCTACAGCACCAAGTTTTGTCCATGTTTTCTTTGTATGAAGCTGCTGATTATGTCAATTCTTTAACTGAAACTAGGAATATTCAAAGCTCTTCAAATCTTTGGAGAAGCCTTTAATGGACGCTATGAGCTGCATCAATATCTGTCATGGTATTATCTTTTTGTGCAAGATTCTGAATGGCTTCTAAGAGAATTCTCATTTTTGAGTATACGAGATCTCATTGATATAAAAAGCTGTAATCTTAAAAGATGGTTGACTCTCTTTATCAATAATCATGTGTTCAATACCACTGTCATCTTTAAACCAAAAACAGGTGATATCAATTAACATGTGATTCAATCCATAATCTGTTTCACCCAAGTAATAGATAATACCAAGACCATGCAGGAATGAAAGTTTTAATAACGTGTATCTACCCAGGTCTCTGGAGTTCCTTAATAAATCTGTTAATAAGTTTCCTCTTTCAAACAATACTAGTTGGTGGTCTCGCATACCTTGTCCCCATGGAAATTTTTTCATAAGCAAGCTACCGCTATATCAGAAGGCTTCAGGCAAGCGAGAGGCTTTAACCACAGGTAGAATTTTTTCGGATTTTAACAATATCTACTTGGTAAATAAGGTGCAAACTGGACCGTTTAACTGATGTTTCTCTAATAAACTGATGATGATGTTGGTGGCAATTTACTTTCACGTTTTACCAACATGTCATTTTGGCAAAATTCTGAATTTCTAACTATGAACAACCTCCTTGACAATGATGCAGTTTTGATAAACTCCAGGGCCCTGGAATTTAGTTGTATCATCATACCATCGGGAGAAACGTGGTTGGTTATATTAGCCTTATATGCGCGAGGAATATGAGAATGGCTATATTTTTAAATAAAGCAGTGTACTTTGGCATCTGTCAATTTCCGATAATCAATGTTGCATACCAAGCTGTTTGATGATCCAAATTGTTCAAGCGTGTTGTTTTTCTTTGCCCTCTACTTAATATTAACAACGGTTACGCAGACAAATCGTTTATTTGTTATGATAGAGAATCTTATAATAACTAACTTTATAGAAGACATAATAAAACTTGCTCCACGTTTTGATTTCAGTAGGATATTTGTAATAAGATATTTATAAAAAAAAGATATCAATACAAAAAAAAAGTACCTGTGGTTGTTAATAAATAACTTATTATCTTCAGAACCAATCATACCAAATACGAATTTATTAAAAATGACTGTTTTTACGAGCTATTCTAAAATTTATTACCAAACATTAATGGCTTATTACAGATTTATAAACTCAAACTTCAACTAAGTCATCTTATTTTGCTGAACAAAGCAATTCAAATACCCGAGACAAAACACAACTAACCAAAAAAAAGGAATATAAATTCCTTGGAATTCGATAAAGGTAAATAATATTGTTAAAGGACGGCTGTTTTTTTACGGGCTATTCTAGTAATAATAATAATTTTTTTTACGTGCTTATAAAACATAAAAAAAAAGAAAAAAGTTTAACAAGCAAATATTATCAAAGAATGATTATTTTGAGAGCTATTCTAGTTATTTATAAACATTGTCTTTAGTGAAGGATAATTAGATTGCCTTTTCTTAGATTAGACCATTGTCATTATTATATTCTCTTCAATCAAATCCTTTTTTTTGTATACATATAACAACATAGATTTGATTTGTTTGAGTGAACGGGATCTATTAAGAAATATTATCTTGGGTCAATATTAACATTTATTGGAGTATTCTTATAATGTGATCGGTGGTGCAAAAGTGTAATAAAAACTAATTGTCAACCTTTACACCAAAAGTTTCATCGTACTTTTTGCGCCACAGGGTGATGTGGCCTTTATATATGAATAAAATTGTTCTGTTGAAAAAAAACTTTCTATGTAGGAAACCCAGAGTTGGATAAAATTACTAATTATAATTAACTTTTGCACGGAAAGTTGAGAACTTGCACCATAAATCCGGGATTTTTTCACCGGATCGTCAATTAAAACTTTTTTCTATTTATTTATTTTTCAGACTGACAAAAAAATATCATGCATAAACTGAAAATATTTGGAGGCAAGCTAATTCATTCAATGCAGCAATCCAAAACGATGAAACTAATGCTCGGAGGACAAAAGATTTGATTACTAATCTTTTCTTGGGCGAAAAAGGATTAAGTGAATACACTGGGTCGGATATATTGAAATCATTAATTGCTATTGATGAATTTAGCCTCGAACCATTTTATTATACAATGAACTATTTTATAATCAAATTAAGATTTTACGAATGATTTATGTAAATGAAATTTTTGATGAATTAAAAATATTTGTTTGCAAAAAATTCGTGTTGACAGTGAAACTTATTTAAATCAAGTGAGTTTGAAACAATTCTATCAGAGACACTCAATAAAGTTGATGAAATAATTATTTGGGAAAATGTTCTTAAATGCACACTTATTTATTATTGAGAATTAATAAAATCAACCTACTTTGAAGTGAAACAGGCAGACTTTAAATAAGTTGAATGAATATTATAATAACTAAATATTTCCACGAAAACTTGAGTATTCAATTATTGATTCTAAATGAGTTGATAGTGCTTTCCCAATAAAATTGTATTTTCTAATATATCAACATGTAATTTTTTAATTTGATTTTGTGTTTAATTAGTTGTGCCAAATTATCACCTCCACGAAGATTGTATATTTTTACAAGTAGGTGCTTAATTTACTACATTCTATTATCTAAAACAAATCTAAATCTAATCATCATCAAGATTCCCAAGTTAGAGTAAGCGCCCATTCATATAATAATGTTAATGTATCATTTGGATTTACAAGCTCATATATAATATAATATTTCTTTGTGATTATTGTGAGTAAATATACTGAGGATCAAATCATTGAATTGTTGTAAAGCATTATGGTTGTCAATATCCTTTTTGAATTTTGATGTGCTAATGAAATGCTTCTCGAAAAATGGATTACATTTGAAGAAAAAAGATTAAGAATTCCTTGACTTTACTAATATAGAACCATGTAATAAAAGGATTCTTTCTAATCAAAATGGAGCAATTGAAACTTTAAATTTTAGTTTGATTTGCTACATTATATAAAATAAATGTTATCAGAAATGCCTTATTATTGCTGTCGCCATTTAGTTCTTTTTCCTTGAATTTAACTGGGAATTATATTTATCTATCCAAACTATAAATTTAAACCAGGAATTCCAACTGGTAAAGGAGGAGGTAGTGAAATTGAGAAATAAATGAAGTCTGTCTTCTTTTCTTGCTGAGATGGGTCTGACTTATTTCATCGACAATTTATCACCATCACCACTATCACCTCATTTATCATTGGTATGATGCATGTAAACTAACCGTCAGTAAAGTGATTGTCGATGAAGTAAACACCACCCGTCTTGAGGCAGCATTAACAGCCGTATGAAAAAACTCATTATGCTTTTTACAATCGATGTATTTTAACCTGTCTCATTATGGTGGCATATTAAATATTCTATCTGAAATCATCAACTTATTAATTTATATTTCTTACGTTTCATCCAGATATTGATATTTTGTGAACTTTTTGTATGATATCTGTTACATCTTCAATTCTTTCTTGTCCTTCTTCTCCTTGGGGTAATTTAAATAAGCTTATAAAGTTTCTCAAGTCTTCGATATACTTCTCCTTCACCGTACCAATCTTCCATTTTTGCATTATGTGCCTTTTCATCTGGGACAAGTTTCTTTGCAACATATCCAACTAACATAATCATATATATCCCTTTTTCTCGGTGTTTTCAGATATCACATAATTTAATGCAATGCTTATATTTAGATTTGCGCTTTTTCAATCTATAAAAAAATCGACACTCCATTACGTGTCATTGCGCTTATGGACTAATTAGTAGTATTTGTTAAGGTATGTTCCAACTAAAGCTAGCTTCATTTCAAAATCTAGAATTTGGGTCTTCTATTTGCCTTTATTCACTGGAATGTTTTGTTGAATTATCACGAGGGTTTTTTGAATGATTTATTACACAATTAATCAAAGGTGTGTTAGGAATAATCTTCCTGTGTTATTTTCCCTAAGCTGTTCTAAAATTGGTACCTCCACCTGAATATCTTCGATTTTACCATTCTCAGTTAACGAGTGTTGTGACTCTGGCTGGGCCTCGAAATCTGTGATTTCCATACCACTTATTTTTTCACGAATTCCACTAACGGGTGATTCTATTCGCCTGACATTTTTATGGAAGAAATTATCTGTTTAATTCGAAAAATCTCTACAATATAAAATTTATGGGTATGAAATTAGTGATATGAGCCGGTTAATGTTGGTTTCCAAAACTAGAGAGTTTCGCAACTGTGCGAAAGTCAAAAGGTTTCGCCATAAGTCGAAACTAGTTTTGACATTTGACCTTTGACTTTTGATTTAGTTTTGATATATAAATTTTAATTTTAGTTTTGACTTTCGCTTCTTCAAAATAGTTTCGGCAACCAACACTAGAGCCGGCTATAAAAAAATTCCTCTCGACATTCATTTTTACGTCGGAATCTTTGGTGCAGAATTCGATGACATAGACACTTGTTGAGACGGGCCCATCTGCATTAATTAGAATGACAAAAGGCATACATCTGCTAAAAAAAATTACAATACTCGTAGCAGTATAAAAGCAAATAGTTAGAGTTTCTATTCGTAATAGTAATCCAAATTCTTATTCGTACTAATTCGAATTATTATTATTATTCGTTTAATTCGAATAAACTTTCAATGTAATTCGAATCAAATTCATAACAAATAATTCGTATGAAATTGTTTGAAATAGAAATAAAAATAAAGGAAGTTTACACAATTTTTGATTTTTGAGCAGTAGCACAAATATTAATATGATTAAAGCTCCAATGGATTGATTTGATTCGGGTTAGTTAAAATTCACTTCGAATTTGATTTTTTAAATCAATTATTTTTTGCATTGACGTTATGGACAACTTGGACACTTTATCCGGAATTGGCAATTAGTATGTGCTTTTTGTGAAATCTATGTAAAACAAAGTCGCGTTCGAGCTTTATTTATTAAAAGTTTCTTCGTTATAAACACCAATAACTGAATTATCTGGATTAGGCCACGTTAAAACCATCGTATAACCCTTGCATGAACCAAATCCATCACTTAAATTGATTGTGGATATTCAAACCATGACTGTTATTGCTTAATAGACATTAGTTTTTTTGTTGGAATTAGGGAATTATTGCACTTTTGATTGATTGTTTTATCACAATTAATTGAAAAAAGATTTGACCATTTCTTAAAATATAATAATAATCTTTATTACTGAAACAAATTCTAATTTTAAACAAATCTCTTGACCTACTTTTTTTAAATAATAATGATAATTAAAAGTTCACATTGCATTCACATATTCATAAACTTGTTTTAATATTCAAATAATACCCAACTTTCATTATCTGAAATAAGCCCGATTTTAGGTGATCTCAATCTATTTAAAATTTCCCAAAATATATGGCTTGCCTCGTTTGCCTTATCTTTCCTCAAATTTTCAAATAACTGTAGAAATCTTTTAGTTACCTGAAATTTTTTGAGAGAAAATTCGGATTAATATAAAGAATTTAATTTTAAGTTTTCTAGAAAAAAAAAAAAAATGCAAAAATAATTTTCTACCTTTTCATTTAATGTGTTAAACCCATTATCATCCATATCAACTGATTGTTGAATTTCTTTGATAATTAAATTTGGAAGTTGTTTCACAATAACAGGATTATTGAAAATTCTCATAAAATTCTCATCAAATATCTGACAATCAATAAAACATGAATTGATCATAGCATTAGCAAGGGTAGTAGCACCACCATTATTACCATCAATAATATTATCAATGTTAACATCATCTTCACACCAACTTAAATTAATTAAACCATTCATCACCAAATTAATGCCATAATACCATATTTTGTTAATTGATGATGATTCTTGATTAGGAGAATTGGTTACTATAATCAAAACATCCATCAAGTTGACAAGCCATTCTAATTTTGATCTCAAGATTTTTTTTTTGTTTGATTTTTTAGTATTATTGAATATGTCAAAATGGATGGTAAAAAGAATCCATGAAAATATTAAAATATTTTTGTTATTAGATGAGTGTGACTCCATCATTTCCATCATATCATTTCCATCATAATCATCATCTTTTTCTTGATTTTGTTTTGCTATCATTACTAAACTTTCTTGTAATAAATTTATAAGATATTTTGAATCTACACGATTCAATTGGACCATTGTACAAATTGTTACAACATATTTCTTGAATTCTTCCTCATTTTCATACAACTGATCACCTTTTATAATATCATCATTAGAAAACATACAAGTTTTTGTAAACAGTTGTATTATGTAAACATCTTGTTCTTTCAAATCTGATATTTTAAAATTGTAGAAATGTTTTTTTAATCGTTTAATTAATTCTTGTTGGGTTATGGTCAAATAATCTTCAGTGTTGGATGTTTTGTCATTTGATGGAATATAATAATTTATCGTTCTTAGAAATTTTATCTGTAATCCCTACAATACATAATAAATAGAAAGATTAGATATACAATAATTCATAAAAAATAAATAATTTGCAAAATATTATTTGATTCAAAAACCTTAATAATTTTTAAATATTTATTTTCCACTTTTTCAAATAACTTTTCAAATAAAACATCAAAGATTTCTAAAAGACGAGAATCATGAATTGTTGATTTTTTTAAAATGTCATTGATTCCTCGCCTTTGCTTAATAGCAACTGAAGATGATGAAGATGTTGTTGGCCTTTTGATTTCTGTAATTATGTCATTTTCATTTTTTTCAAATCCATAAAGTTGTAAAATTTTAGCAATTCCATCATTAACAAGTATCTCTTCAAATCCTAAGTCACCACTATTAAAATCATCACCATCATCAGATATAACTTGAATATCAGGGAATTTCATTAATACATACATAAGGTATTCTGTTAAAGATGCTGACCAATCACAATATTTTATTGCAAACTTAATACTTTCAATATGCAATTTAAATTGTTTAAAGTTTGGTTTATTAAATTCTACAAGTAAGGGGAACCAATTTACTGGTGGAAAAACTTGATTGACATTCATAAGTGTTGAAAAAAACAATTGTGCTGATTCTATTGATATAGTAGATTCTGGAGAATTCATATATACATAGCGACTTTTACTTGAAAAAATATCTGTTACATCTGTTAATGCTACAAATAAAAATTTCAAATAGCTTGAATTAGGTAATCTAGAATAGTTTTTAGGTTCTGTGTCAGCAATATTTTTTGATACTGATTTTATTAGAACATCATTACTTTCAACTAAAAGTTTATCAACACTTTGTGTCATCTTGCCCAAAATAATAGCTGCCAGCCTTGCACCTTTCACATCTTTAATCATTATTTCTGCTGCTCCAGCAAAAACAGTACTAGATGGTGATGATGATGGTACACCTGCTATATTTTTTAATGTATCCAATACTTGATTGATCACTGTAAATGGTCTAGATTTAAACAAATATGAATTGGCCTTTTCATAAAAAAAATTGTGTGGATATATCACCCCTGATAAAGAACCTAAAGCCAAAATTGCATTCTGACGTTTTTTAGAATTAGATCCTGGTGATGAAAGAACTTCTATTTGAGAGCTCAATTGGGCATTAAATTTCTGTAAATTAGGTAATATTGCTCTTATTGGTATGATTAATAGAACAGTTTGTAATACATAACAATAAGTTTGAGTAAAATGAACATCATATCCAGTCCATTCTCCCTATAATAAATAATAATAATATAAATATTCATATGTGTGTGTGTGTGTGTGTGTGTGTAATTAAAATTATACCTTTGATGTGGTAACACTTGTTAATTTTTCAAAAAGTTCAATAATATTTTCATCATATCTTTCAAATTTTGAAAATGCAACAAACCAAGCTGAACCTAAAATCCGCCGCTTATGATCATTTTCAACTTTTCCATTTAACTCGACAAACTTTTTTAAATCAGATAATGCTTTTTGATAAATTGTCTTGACTTCTTTAACTTCTTCATGATTAACCCCTGATAATCCAAGCATAAAACCTAAATATGAATCAATCAATAATACTGGTGATTCTGTTTCTGGGTTATTATTTGATTGAAAAAAATATTCTTCAAGGAATTGAATTGTTTGTGAACAATTATTTTCCATTTCAGGAGTTCTAGTGGGAAATGATGCCTGTTGAAATAAAATAACCCCTATAGCATAACCTGCTCCAAATAATGTCCAAACAAATATTGAGCTTAATATAAACATATAAAGATATATTTATATTAATATTTATAATAATATATTATCTTTTTACAAAAGAAAAATTTTCTTTACCTCTTATCATCATCAATTAATTTTGAAACCAACAAATTAATAATTTCTTGTGTAAATCTTTCATCCATCAGTACCAAGGTTGTTAAATATCCTAAAGAAATCATAACACTAAATTGTACTTCATCACTTGTAATCAAGCTTATATCTTGATTTTCATGTTTTTCAACAGTGTCTTGAAATGATCCATCAACAAAATAATTATCTCTTAAACATCTTAAAATATTTGCAGCATATTGCTCTTTTGATACATTATTAAGTGATCTCAAAGCTAAGCATAGACCTAAAAAATAGTAATTGTAATAGCAACAAATATTATTATTATTATTATTAAATAAATAAATATTTTATCTATATTTATATTTAAATACCGGTAATTGCAAATATAACATTTTGAAATATGGTGGGAACACTAGTTTCAGATAATAACTTAATCAAATCATCTTTTAAAATATTTATTATTTCTTCTTCATTATTAAAATCAAAATTATTTTGACTGTTAATTGTTATTGAAAAAATTTCTTGTAAGCCATTTTCAAAAAATTTAGTCCATTCAGCAATCACACCAATTCTAATCATCCAATGATCTGTTAAATTAACATCTTGAATTACATTCATCAACAATTTATAAAATTTAGTTGATTTTATAAATTCTATTTTATTTACAAGGTCATCTTTTTTTTGTTGCTCTTCTTTATCAAGTATCATTGTTGAGGATGATAATGGTAATGATGATTCGAAAAAAAAAGAATTAAAGTATTATTATTTATCATAAATAAAAAATAGTAAAACCCACTTTTCCTTTTCTCACTTTTTACAAATTTTTCTAAATCAAACATGTATATATACTTAAAAAACTTCAACTCCTTCATTAGCGTAACTCTCTTCGTCATCATCTACAGAATCTCCTTCATTCTCGTCGTCGTCATCATCATCATCATTATTGTTGTTGTTGTGTGCTTTTAGATTTTTTTTACTGAATAAATCCTTTTCCATTTTTTTTAAATCCTTCATAGCTGTACGATACTCTTTACATAATGATCTTAATTTTTCCTCTGCTTCCTCATAAAGCTTCTCTTTGGCTTTTTTATCAAGATCAGGATCTTTAAAATTGAATCTGGAAAGATTCGTTCGCGCTTCTTCACTCAAATTTTCGATTGATATTTGTGGAATGAGTGGAATTTCTATTTTAAATGCATCCGTTGAATAATTATTATGTTCTTCTTCAAACAATTCTAAATTATCATGAAAAAATAATAATAATAAAATTATAATAATTATTGTTTGTCTTCTATAATCCATCAATGATGCATATATATATATACCTTCAATTGTAACATCTGAATACGTTTCAGTTTTGGAATCTTCATCCATCAAATCAATTTCTGAAGTGTGTCGCAGCTTACGAGATTTTGGCGCGATGTAATAGGCGGAATTATGATGAGTAGTAATCTTGGTAACATTTTCAAATTCAGATTTAAGTGAAATGCTACTATGATTTCGTTTCATAGATTTACGATTATAAGATTCTTTTTTATGATTATGTATGTCCATCGTCGAAACTGAAGTATTGTCGTCATCACCGTCAACACCAACATCGTCATCATCATCAGAATTACAATTAAACTTTTTAATATTATTCAATTCATTGGTAGTATTTACAGAATATGAGAAAGTTGTTGATGATGACGACGATGACGATGATGACGATGACGATGATGATGATTTTAAGTAAGCATTTTTGCCTTTATTATTTGAAGTGCGTGATGATTCTTTGTTGTTACTGTTAAGTTGGTGCGTATTAGCTGATTTGGATGAGTGACGATTGTGATCATTGTTGTTACAATTTGATTTGTTTTTAATTTGTCGAATTGATGATGGAGGCGTGATATCAGAAAACCTTTTGGTTTGTATGCTGTCTTTATTTTTATATTTTTTATTATTTGGTTTAGATGCTGCAAATGACCTACTTATCGCCCTATTATTTGTAGTAGTAGCAATAATTCTGCGGTTAGTTACCGACCGTTTGTTATCTTTCGTTTTTCCAAGTGGATTTTTCCAATAATCCCATTGAAAACTTTTAGATGGTTCGCCATTATTTTTTATGCATTTGAGAGCTCTCTTAACTCCAATATGATCAAGAAATCCTTTTTTTTTTACAAAAGTCAAGTAAGGCTCATCACCCAACATGAAATGCTTTAATCCTTTATGCTCTACTACAGAACTTTTTAAAATTATAAATTAAGAAAAAAAATACATCAAATTAATATATGAATATATGAATTGTGCACATACTATGTCATATCCTCGAAATATTTTACAAGAAAATTTCCTTCTAGTAACAAATGATCAATATCACAATCAAAATCCATGCTCTCGTCAAGTTCGTCATTTGGAACAATCTAGGTTTTTTAAAAAAAAAAATAGTGAATCACAAGTTTTAAAATTCAAATAATCTGATAATTCAAATAATATAGAAAATTACCATTGCAGGCCACCAAAAGCCAGCATTTTTATCCAAAGGATCAACTGTGTATATATATATAAATGCGTGAGTGAGTATATTCTATTAATTCAAACAATAACATTATATACTTGAATAAAAAAGAATATTACCAAAAACGACATCTCTTCCTTTAAAATCTTGTACCAATGATTCATTACTATTCAATGTTTCTTTTGAATGACGCAATGATTTTCTAGAAGGTTTGCTAGGTTGAATAATGACTCTTTTTGTTCTTAAGGTTCTTGTAATTTTAGGTGATTCTGTTTATTGTTATTAATATTTTAGAGAATGGCTTATGTTAGTAAATTCGACACAATAAAATCTGAATAAATATGTACATTACCTTCTTCTTCCAACTCCTCCTGTATTTCCTCTGCTTCCTCATCTTGTTCTTCTTCATTAGAGTTAAAATCGTAATGAGATTTGGATTGAGATCTATTGCGAAAATTAGTTTTTCGCACATGATTTTTATTCCTTTCTTCTTCCTCTACCACTTCTTCACTTTCTTCTTCATGTATATATTTGCCAGTTTTAGACTTTACGCTTGTTTTGGTTTGAGATAATTTATTACGAAATTTAGGTTGTGGTTTATTTACATATTCTTTTTCTTCCGCGCCTTCTTGCTCCTCCTCATTATCTAATTCCTCCTTTTCATCCTCGCCTTCGTTGTCAGCTTTGAGTTTTTCAAAATTTTTTAAATGAGATCTATTACGAGATTCAAATTTTTGCTTATTTATAATCTTAATTTCTTTATTTTTTTCTTCTTCGTCTTGCTTTTCTTCAGTATCATTTTCCTCATCCATATCATTTTGCACATGGCTATTTACAACACCATTCATTTGATCATCAATTTGACTATCTTGGAAATCAATTTGTAGCTTTTTTTGTGTTGATATAACACTAACGCTAGAATTAATAATAGTGTTAGAACTGGCAGTAATAATATTAATTTCATCCACAACTTCTTCTTTATCCAGTTCTATCAACGATTGTTCAACGAGAGTAGAATCGTCGTCATCGTCGCCGTCGTCGTCGCCGTCATCGCCTTCGTCAAGATTTTTATCGGCATTATCTTTTAGAAGATCATCCTCAGTTTCAATTATTTCGGAATTGTTGTTATCGAAAATAGTTTTATTATTACTCTTTTGTTTTTTATTTTTCTGCTTCATTTCATTAGATTTAAGGGTTTTTTTATTTCGTAAACTAATAATAATTAACAAGAGACAAAAAAATAATTTTAAATTAGGTTCAAGAGTATATATTTAGACATTAAGATAAAATTATAATGATATTTTTGGAATGAATAAGCAATAGATGTGTATTTATGTGTGTGGTTGGGCGTGTATGTATACAATATTTAAAAAATAGCTTTATTATTTTTTGAAGAACAATAATTAATTACTTTTTAATTGATCCTTGTGAATTTTCAGTTTCTTCGGGATGTGGTTGAATGGGTGGTATGGAGGCACCTGTGTGGAAGAACTCACGACGAAGACGCTCGTTTGTGCAATACCACAATTTACCGGTACCGTTCTTTTTTAATAATAAAAAATTAATTTGAGCAAAGTAATAATAAATAAGTAAAAAGAGAGAAAAAATATAAAAATTTTTTTTTGGTAAAAAGTTATTTATGAAAATAAATAATTTTAGATAATGATAATAACAAAATTTGTATGTGAATAATATGAATAATTTTTATAATTTTTTAGTTTTTATAATAATAATAATAGGATTAGAAAAAATAATTTAAAACGTACTGGCGAAGACGTCACAGTGGTCATGACTGTGCTCAAAGAGAGATTCTTTATATATATAATATATATATATATATATATATATATTTGTATTTGAAATAATAAATCATTAATACTATTATTATTATTATTATTGTAATGAAATTCGATAATAAAGAACAAAAATATCTAATAGTATATATATGAGAAAATACCTTTTTTTTTTTGAAAAAGAAAAGTTGAAAAAAAATGATCCCAATATTTATATTACTGGTTGATGAAAAACATGATTGGCCAGTTGGATTTTTCGTACAACGATCCCGGGGCACACTAAAAACTCCGTTCTTTATTTTGATTGGATAAAAATATGACTATCCTATACTAAAAAGGAGAGGTGTAAGAGCCACCCAACTTATTGGGAATCAAAAAAGAAATATTAATGTTAATACATATATATATTAAATTTATTTAAGGGAGGATTAAAAAGGATAGATTTTTGAAGATTATCGATAATCTTGAAAATAATCCAAATTTGATTGTGAATCATGTTTCTAATTTTTGAATTAAAAAATTGAGATTTAAAATTGGTTTGTTTTTTTTACATGCGCGACAATTTCAAAAAAATTATATTGAATATTGTTACACGGAATCAAAGATTAAAAAAAAAAAAGACCCAAATTTTTGATGTCATTTTATTACAAAAGAAAAAACCAAGTTCATTGGTTTGTGAGGATTAGTGTTGACAATTTCCCGGTTTACTATGTATCAGTATTTTCAATAATAGACTTCCTTGGCCAGCAAGTAATGACAATAATAAGAATCAAGCTGATTTATTTTATTAGGGTAGGGAAAAAAGAAAAAAAATGATATAAGATGTATGCATATAAACCTACCCTATAATATGATATTTATAAAAAAATATATACTATGAATATTGAAAATTTTTTAATTATTTATATTTTGATTATTTTTATCACAAATTCTTGGATCTTTTGACTCATGATAATAAGTTTCAAGACCAAAAGTATCTACCCGATTCATCAAAGGAATTAATTGAGCCCATGTCATCGGAAGAGTGATATTACTGAATCTATTGATGCTATTGGATTTATTGATATCAATGGAACTATTGATCCTTTGCAATAAATCATTTGACATAGATGGCGACGAATTGTTTGAAGTATCTAGATAATCTACTATTACCGAAGCCAACATTTGTTGTTTTAAAGGAACTGGATCGTTGACAGATAATGCACCATTTGTTGGCAATTGAAGAGAGACACTATTATCATTTACTATCCTACAATTATTGGGTTCATGATAATTGTTACTAGTATATAATACGCTATCCATAGATGATGTGTTGTTTTTGTCTTTGTTGTGGCTGTTACTGTTATTGTTGATATTATTGCCAGTAACATCAGATATCGCCCTATTTGTCTTGTAATTAGATTTACCATAGAGTTGAAACTGGCCATTTGACGCATCAATATCAAAGTTTTTATTGCTAGCATTAGATGGAGTACTACTATATACCGTTTTATCCATTAGTTGAGTGACATTAGAAATAATTGTTGTATTCAAATTAACTTGCTGTGGCAAAGCGTTTGAGTTTTCTTGCATGTTATTAATGTGTTTAGATTTTGGATCTATTTTGTTTGATCTTTTTAAAATGATATTTTTTTCATTTGTGTGGGAATAACTTAATGTATCAAACAAAAAAAATTGTGCTTTTCTCATATTAGAATATTCATTTTGAATCGCTCTCTAATAAATCCAAAAAAAAAAACTGTGTGAGGTTTGTTAGGATTAAATGATTAGCTAAAAAAAAAAATAATATCAACTTACATATGCTTCATCTATAAAAAAAATATTATCGTCATTGCTATCAAGTATTTTATTATGCATGGTGGTATCACTTCTAGTAGAATTATTGATGTTAGTAATATTAGGATAATATTCTTCTTCTTTTACATCATTATCATCAATAACTATAATTGATCTCGACCTTGAGCTTACGCTATTATTAATTAATTTTACACGTTCAGAAAATTCAGCATAACCTTTCTCGAGGATTGAATTATCAGGACAAAGCCTTTTACTACTATACTCTGCATAGAATTCGTCAATTTCTCTTGCGTGTAATTTACCCATCTTTCTCAGTTGCATCTGATGTCTTTTTTCCATATTATGAAGTTGGATATCAGGCTTACTGGCATAAGTTTCTCGATATAATTTATCATAACTAAATTTTTTGAAAGCATCATTTGTTTATATATAAATACATATATATAGATATATACACGTGCATATTTTAGAAAAATTAAATCCCAAATATATAATAAAGGTAATAAAGAACAAAATAAATCAAGATAAAACAACTTACTCTTTGTCTTCGGGGAAACACTCAATCATAATGTCAAATAACTTTTCCTGTTTTAAATAATCAATATATTTAATTTCATATAGAAATATAATTTTTTTTTAATAGGTTAAAGCTTACCATGTTTTTTTTTTTTTTAATTACAAATGAGTAAAAACTGTCAATTTTTATTTTGAGACCAGATAAATATTACATACAATATTACATTAATGTCAATCATTTAAGGGTGGAAGTGATCGATCCACAAAATAAAACTTTGTTACACACGATTTTATTTTGCAAAAACAGTTTGATGATCCCGGTTGTACAATTTTCTAACACTGAATTTAGTAAAGGAAAGAAAACATTGGAACATTGTATATATAATGCAAGTCACTTAGTCCCGTCCGCAACTTTCTATTGGTCGTGTAGATACTTCAAATCCTCCAAAAATGAAAATGCAACACCCCAAAATAAATCGTGTTTTTGAAGCCAAGAACTTCCTCCACAAAGTTACTATTTCATTTACCGAATTTATTATGTTTAGCCCTAAAATTGACGTGTTACACAAAAAATAATCAAAAATATCAAAAATAGTTTCAATCTTTTGTCACATGAATTTTCCAGATTAAGATGAATGAAAGAGAATTTATATTTGTTATCATCAATTAATACGCTCTCCTAAATAATAATTAGTGACAACTTGGTCTCCTCCGAAATGATCTGGATATTTTACATTGCTAAATTCTGGTGCAGCTGGTTGTGATTGTACTATTGCAGCCACCACTGTTGAAGTGCATTATTAAGGTTTTGTAAATCTGCTAGATCCATCAGGACCGGGCTTGTTGATTCACTACTGGTTGATTTGAATTGAAAAAGTTTTCTAGACCTAGAGTAGAATCTCGTCTGAATTACTATCTGAATTTTCACTTATTTCCAAATTACTACTTTAATTATTATTTTCTTCACTTGTTTGTTTTGTAGAACTTGATAGAAATTAATTTAGATTTTTATGTTCAAAAATAATTAATAAAATAAAAACTTATAAAATCATATGATAATGATTCTCACATGACTTTTATATGAACTTCTATTATAATGACAATCTCGTTATACTGACATTTTTTGCTTGCACATGGAGTGTCATTATAACGGGAGTGACTCGTATTGCACAAAATTGGCGGTGTGGCACAGAAAGTTGTGGGACTAGGTGACTTGCACCATAACCACATGATATCATGTATCGGATTAGGATTTTTTAAAATTTTCGGACACATTAGAGCTTCAATTTCCGTAGTATGTAAACATAACTATACACAAAGTCCATTTCGACTTTTTTTGGATGGTCGAAATGGTTGAAAATAGTCTCAAATTTTTGATAAAATCTTAATAATTTTGGATAATAGTAACAGTCGAAATCTTGGATAGTCAAGATGATTTGTTATTATTATGAATAATAAAATGATAATTAACATATCAGTTAAGTCAAAACGATACAGTCAAACCTCGTTTCAATGAATCTATGATGGTGTTATGTTGATGTGTTAACGTTACGGGCCCTTTAAAAACATTCAATCTGTTAATATTAATATTAATGGTTTTTCCACCCAGATTTGTAACGGGTTAATCCGTTAAAAATAACAAGTATTATTATTAACAAGCAATATATATATATATTTAAAATATTTGAAACATTTGTTGTAAGAATTTAAAATAAAAGGTTTATTTATTTAGTTTTTATTTGAAGGATGAATTGCTATTTATTTGAGCCATCGCGAGTAAAAACAGCACCACATTCTTTACCAACTTCATTTAAGACTGAATAACTAGCTCTTAAGGTTCTACCGTGGAATTTTTTCCCATGCTAATTTAAGCCAATTGCTTATTTTAACTAACTATAAAATACAAAATCATGCCTTATGTATTATTATTATCGACACTTGATGTTGTACAGATTTTTTTTGTTGACGTGTTTTTTTTTTTTGGAAAACAAAGTGACAAAACGTGAGAATTATAGAAACTCAGGAAAAAAACTAATAGTTTGAAACTCAGTTACTTTGCCGAAACTTAATCACTGTGCCGAAACTCAATCACTGTGCCGAAACTATAATTTGTTGCAGAAACTTCAATTTTTGTTGAAATTATTTTATAATGATTAGACATTTTCTTTTGAAAAAAATTAATTATACAAGAAATTTTATTATTATTGCAAAACATTTAATATTATTATTATGTAGAAGGTGTTATAATTCTTTGGTTACATTGGTATCAACAAAGGGTAAGTTTGGTGTGGTGTTTGCTTTGGCAGATTTTGGTGTCGTTGGAAAATGCACTAGTTGAATACCATATTCTGGATCATTATCTTCTTAATCTAAGTCTGAAAATCCTCATTAGCTAAACACTCTTATTATTTCCACAAAAGCAAACAATGAATAGATTACCCAAAGAACGCATTTTCTGATAATATATTTAGGAAGATACCCCGCACCATATTAAACATAGAATGAGAGCTTTATATGTAAGTGATTTATAACAATGAATTAACATAACATTTTTTTTGATAATGAAATTTTTTTTATTCTAGCCTTTAAATGATAAATACTGTATGTAAGTAAATGTATATCAAATGCTTTTAAACAAAATATGATTAGAAATTTATATTATATGGTGATATTTAATATGATTC